GATGGACAACACAGAAGAAATGGACAGATTCCTAGATACATATGAATTACCAAAGTTGAATGAAGAAGACCTAAAAATTCTAAACAACCCAGTATCAACCAATGAAATTGAAAACGTAGTGTGGCCAGCCTTTATGCTCTCGCGTAGGGCGGGAGTTAGGAACCTTGGCGGAGGCTGACTGTCCTGCAGGGCAGGATGCGCCTCTGGGGGGGACCTGAGAGCCCTTCGACCCCAACCCCACGCGCAGGCGCGAAGAGCTCCACGCCACGCACCTGGCGCTGTGGTGGAAAAGAGAACTTTTTGTTTTGTTCTGCTTTTTTTGAAAATAGAGAAAATCAGGATTCAATCTAGATTACATGGAAATAACAAACCTCAGAGGAAATGAACCAAACTAGAGCATGATGATAATGGGTGCACTATCGCTTTCTACTGAAATGTAGTGTTTCTTTAGTCATTCTTATTTTTACTAAAAAAAATCAGTTACATTTTTTAACAAAAAATTTGGTTTTATTAAACTTGACCTGATTACTTATGAGCACAATAAAAACAGTACTCATAGGAATTCTGCCAGGCGTGGTGGCACTCAGGAGGCTGAGGAGGAGGATCGCTATGAGTTTGAGATCAGCCTGGGCTACAGAGTGAGTTCAAGGCCAGTGTGAACTACACAGCGAGACTCTTGTCTCCAAAAACAAAAACAAACAAACAAACAAAAAAGTAATTTGATTTTTTTTTTTTTTTGGTACCAGGGATTGAACTCGGGACATTACACTTGCGAGGCAGGCGGCAGAACCACTGAGCTAAATCCCCGGCCCCTTGATGTATATTTTAAAATATGATATTTAGTCAGACCTTTGGTAATATTGAAAGACCTTTACCAACTTTTTATTGGCCAACTTTAGTTTTTCAAATCTATCTGGTAATGAGGAATCTCAGATTAAATCTTTAAAGACTTCTGTAGGCCAAAGAGCTCCTCAATCATACCCTGGTACAAAAGAACAGATTCTTAGCAACCCTATGCAAATACTCATACGGAAGATAAGAATATTTCATAAAAGTCTCCAAATTCTAGGGTTATCGGGTGGGAAGAAACAGAGAAATGTTATTTTACCAACTGCAGTAAGAGACAGAGTAAGAGGAAAGGTTAAAAGGGTTCCTTAAATTGGAAAATCAAGACACTGAGACAAAGAACAAACAAACAAATCAAACAAATCATCATTCTCCTCACCAAATGCTTTCAGGGAGGGAATGTGTTTTGTAGCACACAGCATTTTTTTTTTTTTTTTTGGTACTGGGGATCGAACCCAGGTCCTTGCAGTGTGAGGCACGCGCCGGAACCACTGAGCTAAATCCCCGGCCCCGACACACAGCATTTTAATATTGTAATTAGCTTTATGATTGCCAACATACCAGCATATATCAGATTTCTAGGAATTTCATGTTATTTCTAAAAAGAACTCATCAATAATAAATATGACCCACGCCGGGGATGTAGCTCACTGATCCCATGCCTGCCTTGTAGGCACAAGGTCCTGAGTTCGATCTCCCGATCTCCAGTATCATAATAAATATGACCTAAAGAAACTCTAGCATCACTCATTTGCAATGCTTCCCATACATTTTAATGTACCAAATAAGTTAAATTAGTTCATGCCTCTTTCAATACCTTTGAGATATTCCAGCCATCCTTCTGAGAACCTTCCAATTAGTCTGAAATCCAAAAGATTTAATTTAGAATTTGATTTTTGGAAGCTATTAAAATGTTCAAAAAGTTTAAAACACATAGAATCACAGGTCACTGTGAGAAACATAAAAAAGTGATGACAGATTTTAAAGGCAAATGTAAAAAGTTGTCTTGCTGTTTTAAAAAAAGAAAAAGAAAAGAATTAGGCTTCACAGACATAGCTCAGTGGGCGAGCACTTGCTTAGCATGTGAGATCCTGGGTTCAATCTCCAGCATTAAAAAACAAAACAAACAAAACTAAAACAACTTACCTCTTTTAACATTAACAGACTCGCTTTTCTTAAGTAATCAAAGATCTAATAAAAGACTAAGGCATAAGAAACTGTCTTGGTAAAGCATGAAGACTTATCCAGGTGTGGTGGCATGTGCCTGTAATCCCAGCACTCTGGGAGGCTGAGGCAGGAGGATCCCAAATTCAAGCCCAGAGTAGCAACAGTCACACAGTGAGACCCTGTCTCAAAACAAAACATGAGAAGGGGTGCGGATGCAGCTCTGTGCAGAAGCCTTGGTTCAGTTCTGTACCCAGCAAAACAAAACAACCAAAAGAGGACAAAGAAAACTGCCCAAAACGTCTTTGTTTTCAGGCCAGTTGCATAAAAGATGAAAAGAAACCCTTCATAATCAAGAGCAGATCAATTCTCCAAGAAAACCTTGGTTTGTTTGTTTGTTTGTTTTTAACAGAAAATAAACCCAATTCTAGCCTTGAATCAATACATTATGGGCCTATTTTTTAAATTCATAAATAAAAGCCACTTAACCCGAACAGTTTGAGCACACTTGAGACCCCCACTTCTGGCCCCTGACAGCCTTCTGTGCCTTCCGCTCTCATCTTAAACTCGTTTTTCTGAAGTTTGGAAGGCTCGGGTGCCTCCGGCACAGGCCGGCGGCCCGGTTCTCTTGGGGCCCACGCCAGAAGCGCTCATGCGTGGGCCCCCTGGGTGTAGCTCGGTCGCCACGTGTGCTTCGCGGCTTCTCCGATGCAGTGTGGCAACTATTTACATAGGGATTACGTGATTACGTTCTATCCAGCATTATACGTAAGCCAGAGGCGATTTAGTACAGGGGCAGGCGTGCATAGTTTCTAGCCAGATACTGTGCTTATTTATGCAGGAGTCACGAGAGTCGCCTGGAGCTTGGTTTCTAGGGGGGTCCTGGAAGCTGACCCCTAGGGCCAGGGAGCGGTAGTCAAGATAACAGGGGTGTATTTTTCTCCCTCCAGAAAGGACATCTCCTGCCTTTTTCCCCAAACAGGGTGGAGCTGGATGCCATTATGCCATGTAAGTAAACCAACACAGGAAGATAAATAGGACATAATCTCCCTCCTCTATATAAGGCAGAGCAGCAAAGAGCCCAGACCCAGGGCTAGAAGGGAGCTGTGGGTGGCAGGAGAGGAAATGGGGAAGTGTCGCCAAGGGATACAAAGTAGCAGTAATGTACACTATGAGCATTGCAAGCCATGAAGCTGAATTGTATTGGAGAATTTTGACAAGCAGATTTTATGTGCCCTTGTCACAAAAAGAGAGGACTGTTCAGAGGATAAATGTGTTACTCTGTTTCTTTGTTGACTTTATTATCTATATATGTCATACAGCATGTTTTAAACCTCAAATATAAGCAATAAAATTTATCTGGGGGGACTGAAGTGGGAGCATTGAAAGTTTGAGCCCAGCATGGGCAACTTAGCAAGTAAGTGAGACCTGGACTCAAAATAAAAAATGAAAAAGGCGGGGGATGGAGTTCAGCGTGAGGGTCCTGGGTTCAAGCTCCGGTACCACAAAGAAAATTATGTTAGGAAATGTAACTGGGAAACAACGTGGGGATGGACAGGAGTCCGCCCAGACGCTGGGTTTTCACAGCACTGTGACGCTCTCCGCGCTGAGGTGACCCTTCTTCCTGAACCCCGGATATTTCATTGCTGCTGTTAAGATCTTAGCACATCTAGAGTCAACGGCAACCGGCATGTGAAGAGAAACCTTCCTTGGGAGTCTCCTATTCCTCCCTTTGGGAACGGGAATGCTCATTCCCTGCCTATCCCACTGTTTTCCATCAGAAGAATGTAACTTCCTGGCTGTTATTTTTTTTTTTTTTCTTGCACTACTAAGGATTGAATCCGGGGCTTTTGCACTAAGCTACATCCCAGCCCTTTTTTATTTCTTATTCTGATCTCCTCTCCTAAGTCACTAAGGTGCCCAGGCTGGGCTTGGATTTGGGTTCCTCCAGCCTCAGGCGTCCACAGTGCTAGAATTACAGGTGTACACTGCCGCACCCAGCTGTTAGTGCTTTTTGATTTTGTTTTCACTCAGTAAATTTTCATTTAGTTCTTTATTTTCTTTTTTTACTGCTAGGAAAAAATGACTAGTAAGAACAAGGATTTCTGTTTGGAGGTATTTTTCCCCTCTTCGGTTAGAATAAAAAGTCCTAGGCCATCATATGTACTGCATCCAAAGTTTTCTAGAAAGTTCCTCCTGATATCTCACTTGTGGATAACAGAGCTGAACTCTTCATTCTCCCATACTGCTTTGCACAGCCTCCATATACATTTATTTTTATGCAGGTAAACTTGAGGTCCCTGTTTCTTTGCTTTTTGGATTATACAGGGGCTCATGGCTAAGAGTTTGTCTTGAATCTCAGAGAAGACTTTGGACCTGGAGTTTTGAGCAGTACAGAAACTATTGTCTGTGAGGACGCTTGGAGGTGGACTGAATGCATTCACCATTGTGAGACAGGCATGAGCCCTGGTGGCCAAGGGCAGAATCCCATGGTTTGGGTCTTAAGTGTCCCCCACAGGCCCATGTCTTGAAAGAAAACTTGGTCCCCAGGTCATGGTGCTATAGGAGTAAACTCTGGGAAGTAGAGCCTAGTTGGAGGAGGTAGTCATGGATGGTTGCCCTTAAAGCATGTGCTTTGTCCCCCGGCTCTCTTCTTCATTTTTGCTTCGGGCTACCATGAGGTGAGTGTGCTCCTGTCACTGTGTTCTTGTCTCCACGATGTTTCTGTTTCACCCCTGGGCCCTAGTAATGGAGCCAGCCAACCATGAACTGAAATCTCTGAAACTGTGAGCCAAAATAAACCTTTCCTCCCTTAAGTTGGTTTCCTCAGGTATTTTGTCACAGTGACACAAAGCTGACTAACAGAAGGAGAGGGAGGAAAACCTAGCAGCTCAAATGCACAAAGCGGTACTTGGTAGAAGTCACTTCAGATGCCTGTTAGAGAATATCTTGAAAGAGAAGGCTGTGGCACGGTGGAGAGAGTACTAGGCCTAAGGTCAGAAGGCCTGAGCTCTCCCCTACTGCTGCCACCAGCCATGGGGTGATCACAGCATAGCAGCTGGAGTTATCCAGGGAAAGAGTTGCTGTGGAGGTACTGGCTCACATGGTTACGGAAGCAGAGTCCTGCACTGTGTCACCTACAGGCCTGAAACCCAGGAAGGAGGGTGGTGTAGCTGACAAATCTCAGAGCTGCTGGACATTCCAGTCCAAGTCATAAATCTTGAGAACCAGAAGCACCAAGGATAGAAGAAAATAAACGTCTCAGTGGAAGCCCTTGGAGAGCAAGTGGCCCCCAGCCACACTGGGTGTGGAAGAGACAGTTTAATGGCTCATGGTTGTCAGGGGCTTAAGGGCACCAGTCATTCACTGCAGATTCTGCCAGCACGTGGAGGACAGAAAACGATGATTTCTGGAGATGTTAGCAAGCAGGACAATGGTGCCTTTTTATTGCCAGGCTATTTTGGTTTGGGCCTATGTTTTAAAGTTTAGTGGACAGATGAAGAGTAAGCATATCTGCCCTTGTTCCCCACCTGAGGGAGAAAGCATTGTATCTTCTCCATTCATATGAGGCGTTCTCACTGGAAGTATGGAGTACATGTCATTGATCCATTGAAAAGGTTCTGTTCTACTTCAGTCTCCTGATAGCTTTTACCATGAACAGCTGCAGAATTTAGTCCAATACTTTTTCTCCAACTACTGACAGGATCATATGGCTTTTTCCTTTCCTCTGTTAAAATGATGACTTTTGGGGGTGGATCTTCCAATGCTGAACCAACACTGCCATCCCTATAACAAAACCACTTTCTACATCCTGCCAGATCTGACTTCTAATAGTTTGTACTGTTAAACAAATTTTTATCTATGTTCATACTTTTTTCTTCTATTGTGTTTATCCAGTTTTAGTATTGGCACAATGTTGATTTCCTAAAAAGAAGGGAGAAGTGTTCCTTCTTTCTTCTGCTTTAAATGTTTGATATAATTTATCAGTTAAAATGTATATAAGCCTGCTGTTGTCATATAGGTAGGCTTTCAAGCTAGGAATATACTTTCTTTAATAGGTGCTATTCAAATTTTATATTTCCTCCAGAGTTAGTTTCATTAATTTGTCTTCCAAGGTACTTCTTAGAAGTTATCAAATTTATTTCAAAAAAGATTTTTGTAATATGCTTTCTATATCCTTTTAAATTCTGTAAAATCTGTGGTAATGTCTCCTAGATCTTGATATTGTCATTTTAAAAATGTGTAATTGATATTGTATAATAGGAAGAAAAAGTCTAAAGGAGCAGGGGAAATGGGAGGGGTAGGGGAAAGGAAAGAAGAGAAAAGAAAAAATATGAGAAAAGAAAAAAATTGGAAACGAAGGCTTTGCAAATAGGGAAGAATGGAGGGGGTGAAGGGAGGGCAGGGGAAGGGGAAAAAATAACCAAGATTCATCGCTTACACGTACAAGATCCCAGTGATGAATGTAACTGTATTTTATACCTAAAATGTACCAATAAACTTAATGGAAAATAAAATAAAATAAAATAAAAAAGATATTAGCAAGCAGGAAATTAAGAGTAAGCAAGCGTTGCCATATGACTTGAAGATACTTGAAGCGAAACAAAAAGACCAAGTTTCCAAAGCCCGGGAAGACATCTGAGCATGTAAAGCCTTTAGTTTGTTACATTTGTAACAACCAGGAAAAACCTGGGAAGACTCACCTCTTGCTATAGGGAAGTGAGTGTTTCCTGTCTTTGCACCTCCTCTTCCGGTGCCTGCTTCCCATGCGCCCTGCGGGGAGAATCTTTCGTTGCAGGTTAAGCTGGTGGCTCTGGACCGCCTCTCTCGCTGTCGCTCCCCCTCCGCTGCGGTTTACTATACCATTTCCTACATCTGGCCCTCAGAGATCCTCCACGCGATGCCAGTTCTCACATAAAGCTTCCCCACTGTACTCATAGCTATCATACTCCTAGGGTTAGGAGCTCCTTTGCACTAACCACGAGATCTGGATTGCAGAAAGCACGAAGGCCAACAGGTCTTTCTGCTCTTCAACAGGAAGAGCAAGATGAGGGCTACCTCCCCCAACACGTAACGCTTCCCCCTCATTCATCCCTTCCTACATCCGTTCTTCTGTGCATTTATGTCGGACACGAGGTAAACGCTGAACACTCTTAAAACCCGATTCCAGGCCTGCTACAACTGAGTGTCCCTGACGGGTAATTTACGTGTGTTGGTTTTTTTTTTTTTTTGGTACCGGGGATGGAACTCGGGACCTTGCTCTTGCGAGGCAGGGGCCGGAACCACTGAGCTAAATCCCTGGCCCGCTGACGGGTAATTTATAAGGAACAGCGATTTATTTCTTACGTTTCGGGAACCTGGGAAGTTCAAGGTCGCGACGGGGCCACATCTGGCAAGGAATTTCTTGGTGCACAGTTGCATGGTGATGGGCAGAGGACGTGGGGATCCCACTTTCGCCAGGACATTACTCCATGCCCGCGTGACCCCTGACGTCGCATTCTCAACACTGCTGCCTGGAGGAATAAAGTTTTCAGCACATCAACTTGAGGGACACATTGAAGCCAAAGCCGACAGTTAATCCAGCTCGGAGACCGGTGCAGCGAGGGGCATGGGTCACAGGGGTCGCGCAGGTGGAGGAGGCGCCCAGGGAGGCACCAGGAGCTGAGGTGCGGGCGGGCAGGGCCGCTGGCTCGGAGTCCTCGCTGGGGGTGGGAGCAGGAGCCCCTCCGGACACCCACAGAGGCAATAGCTCCCTGCTTCCCACTCTTCGTGACAGCCTACGGTCCAGGTTCCCTTGTATTCCCCGGAAAGCATGCTTAAGAAGTCAGCAAGGTGAGCCCTCATTCAACAGATGACCCCCTTAGTCGCGCTGTCTCCCCTCTCCTCTGCAGACAAGCACGGTCCGCAGGGCAAGGCTGGCGGGGACAATCTATGTAAGGGGCAGCGGCCGCCCCGTCCGTGTCCACTCCGGAACGAGGGTGTCCCGGGCCTGGGAGCTCGGGAAAGTAGCTTTTGGGAAAGGTTTTCTCCGAGGGTTGCTCACTCAGAAGCTTGCAGTCTGGTCCCAGACATCACGGACAAGCTGCGAGGACGCAAAGCGTCCCCAGGGGACCCGCGCTGTGTCTCTGAGGGCGGCCGGCGCCTCCCCACCTCCCCGCCCTGGAGGTCGCCCGGGCATCAGATGCAGGGACTGCGTTCCCAGCCCGAAAGGCAGGACTCTCTAGTTTTACCTAAAACAATGTAACATTGCCAAAGAAGTTTGTTTGTTTCCCAAACAAGAGCAGAGAGGATCCCTCTGGTAAGTCTCCCTCGGACGGAGAGCCTGAGTCTGCGCCTCCCAGCCGGGTCATCGAGTGAACACGCTCCTCCCAGGTCTCAAGTTCTTCTCTGCAGAAATCAGAACACCTGCCGCATGGGCGAGCTGGGCCACTGTTTGTGAGTGTGCTTGGGCGAGCACCAGGAATGCAGGAAGTGCCGCAGACGCGCGTTTGCGAAGTAAAGAAAAAATTGTAAAAATGCGGATGTTGCTAGATGGCATTTGAGCTGAGCTTTGAAGGAACTCGGCCTGTAGAATAAATGTGAGGGAGCAATTTCTAATTTGAAAAAATAGCATTTCGAAGATGTGGAAGTGAAATAGTGATAAGAGCGACCACCGATCGAATGCAGGTAAAGTACCAGGCGCTTTATATCCACTCAGGTGCGCAGAACTTCATCCCCATAGACCACTACTGCATGTCAACGATCATCTCTAAGGTTCCAGCGGAGCTTACGTCAGTCAGCTTTTGGCCACGACAACAAATTCCTGAGGTGATTGACTGACAGAAAACAAAACATTATTTCAGGCTTACAGTTTGGGGGCCGACGATCGGCTGCCCCATTACTTTGGGAGTCTGGGGCCTCAGAATTCCCTTCAAGGGCACACACTCAAAGACCTGACCCCTCTGTGTGTGTGGTTTTTTTTGAGACAGGGTCTCGCCATGTAGTCTAGACTGGCCTGAATCTGGGCAATCCTCCTGCCTCAGCCTCCTGAGGGCTGGGATTATAGGCATGCACCACCACGCCCAGCCCCCTCCTGTTGTAGTCAGGTTTCCAAGGGAGTAGATTGAATATTGGACACATAATTTATAGGATTATTTTATAATAGTCACCCAAAAAGTCAAAGGCAGAGGAGTGCAAGAGATCTGTCCATGTGCTAGAGACCCAAAGGATCCAGCCGAGGGCCTGGACCCCACAGCAGTGTCCCGCACAAGCCCAGCTGAAGGCCTGGGGCCCACGGCAATGTCTCCTGCAGGTCTGTATGGAGGATCTGCACTGGGAAGGCCCAAGGCCAGTGGTGGAAGCAGAAAGCCTGAGCCTGTAGGGTGGAGGCTCTGTGCCACCGGGTCAAGGATCTGCACTGGGGCCAGGAAGTGACGCTCATGGTGAAGACCAGAGCTCCCCTGACGAGAACAGCAGCCATTCCCAGGGACAGCGAGGACCTGAGCTCCTCTGATGACAACAGCTGAGTTTATATCAGGAAAACCAGCCTCAAGCTTCTCCAGGAAAATCAACAGCATGCATCTTCCCCTCCAGTTCTCCTTTTACGCCACTGGCAACAATCCTCAGGGGCCAGGGACTTAGCTCAGTGGTGCCACCACCTGCCTCGAAAGCACAAGGTCCTGCGTTTGATCCCAGTACCAAAAACAAACAAGCAATCCTGGGGTGGGTCTTCCACACCCAGAACCACGCTGACTCATTCAGCTGGGTGCTCCAGGGTGACCATTAGTTAGTCCACCACACCCTCTCTGCCCCACCTCTGGAAGGGTCCATGGAGTGCTGGGGCAAAGTGCTCAGTTGGTTCTATTTTTATTCTGATTTCTTCTTTGCTCCATATGATATTCATTAGTGTGTGGTTTAATTTGCAAACATTGAGTATTTTCAAAATACATTATTGTTACTTTTCTTTCAGTTTAATCCATTTTAGAAAGAGAACACAAGACACAGGACTTCCTTGTGCAGAAATTCATTGACACTTGTTTATGAACCAGCATGTAGGGTATCATGAAGAATATTCCATGTGTCATGTAAAATACATTCTCTGTTCCATCTTTCTCCAGAAAGAATAGCCATCATCAAGAAATCAATACTGCCCTTCTTGGGACCAAACCATTAACCATGGACCTTTGGGGGTCACAAGATGCAAAATAAAGCAAAACTGAAAAATCACCATCACCTAATGCCATTGTAGCTTCTTAACACAGTGGTGTAATGTGTTGCTCACGAGTTGGTGGTGACACTGGTATAGCACACCTAGCACACTGCCAGTCTGATAAAGTACAGCTGTAATATGTGGTGGTGACAATGAAGCACTGTGTTGCTGGGTTTTGTTGCTGTTTTACTGTAAACTGCTTCTGCTTCTAGAGAAAGCAGGCTGGAATTCCAGATGCCTCGTCAGCCCCACAGCCTCAGACATCCTGTGCTCCGTGTGTCTTGATCACACCCTTTTCTGTGTTTGATCAAACCATGTGGTGCTCTCTGTGGCCCTGGGAGCAAAAGTCTAGAGTACATACAGACAGAGACATGAATAACCTGGGTGTGTTGAAGGCTATGGCACCAGGTCCACATTCTACGACGTTCACCCATCAGCAAAAGCACCTAGGGATGCATTTTTCACAATGTGTCCCCGTCCTTAGTTGCCGCGTGACTACTCTATCTTACTTAGTCTCATTGACAGTCCTGTAATGTAGATTTCATAAGTGAGAATAGCAGGGGTCAGGAAGGTGAGGGTCAGAAGGTAAAGGAGCCGTTACTGTCTCACAGTGCAGTCCCAAGACTCCCCAAGGACAGCAGAATCTGCAGATACTCAAGTCCTTGTATAGATTCTCATGTCTGTACATAAACTGTGCAATCCTCACATCTCCTTTTCTGCTTTTTCATTGTTGGGGATCGAACCCAGGGCATCTCAGACAGCGTGCAGGTGTTTGTGCCACTGAGCCCTTCCCCTGTTCATGTTATGTAATCTCTAGATTATTTATAATAACAAATATAATGTGAATGTTTCATAAATAATTGCTATACTGTGTTATTTAGGGAAAAATGTCAAAAAATCTGTACACATTCAGTACAAATGCAACTTCCTTCCAAATATTTTAGCTCTATAGTTGGTTGAATCTGTGCATACTGAGGGTCGAAAGCATTTGTGAATTTTTCCAGATTTCTGTTGCTATTGAATTCTAGTTTCTTGTCATTGTGATCAGAAACAACACCAGATATGATTTGAATCTTCTTGAGTTTATTAAGGTTGTTTTGTGACCTGTGTTCTATCTTGAAGAATGTTCTATATGTGCTAGAGAATAATCTATATTCTACTGTTGTTGGATAGCTAGTTCTATATATACCATTAGGTCCAGTTGGTCTGAAGTGCAATTCAAGTCATGAATTTCCTTGTTTATTTTCTGTCTGGATGATCTCTCCATTTTTGAAAGTGGGGTATGAAGTCCCCTAGTCTTATTTTTTTGCTATTTCTTTCTTCATCCTCATTAATATTTGCTTTTTATATTTAGCTATTCTAATGTTGGGTGCACACATACTTACAATTGTTATGTTATCTTGCTGAATTTACCCATTTATTATTAAATGAGTGCCTTTGTCTCTTGTAAGTTTTTGACTTGAAGTCCACCTTATCTGATTTAATAAAGCCACTCCTGCTCTTTTCTCCTTTTTATGTGCAATGTCTTTATCCATCCCTTCCCTCCCAGTCTATGCGTGTCCTGATGCCAAAATGGGTTTCTTGTAGACAGCACATAGTTGGATCTTGTTTTCCTTGTTGCATTTCTTAAAAATACTGCAAGCTCGTGTGTTGAAAGTGGCCTGTGCAGCAGCATTCAGAGCTGGGCCTTCAGGAAGGTGACTGGATCACTAAGGCTGTAACCTCAGGGGTGAATTAAGCCACTGAGGATTTGATTTGACAGCACTGAAGATGGAGGAGGTGGGACTTGGTTGCAGGAAGGAGGTCAGTGGAAGCCTGGCCTGAAAGGATCCATGGCCTCTGGCCGCTTTCTCTCTCCTGTCCCCTTTGCTTCCTGGTTGCTGTGAAGTGAGCAGCCTCTTTTGCCACATGAGTCCACCAAGGTGCTCTACCCTGACGCAGCCCATAGAAATGGAGCCAACTGACCATGCACTGAAGCCTTTGCAACTATGCGACAAAATAAATCTCACTTCCTTTAAGGTGATAGTTGATTTTCTCAGGTGTTTTGTCCCAGAAACAGAAAGCTGAGTAATGCAGAGGCTGAAAGTTCCGGATAAGGCAGCCCCTTCTGTTTGGCCTCTGGTGGGGCCCACCTGGCTGTGTCACACATGAAGCAGAAACAGACACAGCTGCTTGCAGAAGGGGACAAGGACATGGGCGGCCTCACTGTATAACAACCCACCGAGTACCTCACTCCACAGGACCCGCATGTCCCTTCCAAACGGTGCCCTGTGGCCTAATTTCGTTGCATGAGGTCCCTCTTTTAACTGTCTGTATCTACAAACTGAGGGCCACGTTTCCAGTATCTGAGCCTCTGGGGACAGATTCAAACCATATCTAAACTACAGCCAGTGGTCTAAGCAACTTAAAGTCAGAGTCAGCAGGTAAAACCATAACCCAGAAATAATCTTTTTTCCTAGAACTCATGGTTTTCAGAAAGGTTGAAAGTGAAAATGTTCAAGAACTGAATGCTGATACTTCTTTTTTTTTTTTTTTTTGGTTCCAGGGATCGAACTCGGGACCTTGCACTTGTGAGGCAGGTGGCAGCATTACTGAGCTAAATCCCTGACCCTGCTGATATTTCTTTTCTGATGCAATTATTGGTTTGTGCATGAGGTTTTAATTTGCAATATTAAAAACTAAAAATGCATTTCCCTTTAAAGAGCAATAGGGTGTCAAATCATTTTTTAAAAATCCATGAAGAGGTAGATACCAAAGTTTAGTGGACAGAAATCAGATGTGGTCTGTGTTTTGCAAACCTTTATATTCGGGGCTCAGATGAACTGCAGCTTGGAACTATACCCCAGAGGGGCCTTTCATTGTCACTCGTACCCTTTGCCCAGCAATAATGTCATCACGGCAGTGCCAAAGGAGACATGTGACAAAATGATGATTTAGGTGACTGAATTTTCACAGCATAAATATGGATCCTCTGAATTAAAGTATAAAAAAATTGGATTCACCCACTTTATTTTTGCTGTTTTGGTTTGAGTGTTCAGTTTAAAAATCTCTACAGCTGTACAAAGAGCTATGCAACCGTGGAGGTTGTAGCAGATTGGGTTAGAGCTCCCAGTTGCAAAGTAAATAGGAGTCTGAAC